TCCGAGAAGAATGACCAGCTGGCTGGAATGACTACGATGAGAGCCGGATGACTTGCCAAGAAGATGGACGAGGATGACGATGGAATACGAGATGTACCGAAGTATACACGACTATATTACACTCTTCATATTCTCCAAATAACAAAGGTAAATAAACAGACAAGTAATCTTCAGTGTAAGTGGCATTAGCGTATGTAAAGTATAAAGCTAAAAGTGTGCATTAGATAGCAATGTTAAAGTGCATAAGCATGGTAGTGCAATAAGGAAGTGTGACTCCTTCCCAAATCTGCACCTTTACACGCTCACAACTGCAGGCAAACGCATGGTCTGTGGCCTGTACCCATGAGCCACGTGGCGCCATGACATGGCCAATGCTGCCAGAGTGGAATCTTGGATTTGCACCGAAGGAATCGCTGCCACTGATTCCGACGATGACATTGGTTCCGTGAGTCATGAATACTTGTCCAACGTACTAACTGTGAAGCTTTCTGTGCGAGAGTGCGACACCCAAGTCGACGAAAACGCTGCGTGCTGTCTCGTCCTAATGGTCAGCTGCCTACTACGTTGTATGCCTTCCACGGCCGACGTGTCTTCGGCGTGTTGCTGGGACGCGTGCAACGCGGGGTAAAACTTGGGACAGCAATAGGTACACCAAGCGAGAAAAGGGCCAAAGGGTCAAAGGGTCCTGCGCTCCAATAGCGCTGTGACGGCAAGTGATGATGGTACCTACGGAGGCTATGCACGTGGTCGTGCATCTGGCGCACGGCGAGTTCGATCGCCATAGCTGCATGCGTCTTTCGACGGAAACAACTACGGCCGTATGCACCATGTCCGCCTAGGCGCACGGCGAGTTCGATCTCTGTAGCCGCATATCCTTATGTAACTACGTATGTATGTAACTACGGTCTGATGTACCATGTCGTGACCTTGGCTAGGGCTCCTAGGAGAAGTCTGCATAGGTGGCGAAGCCTAGCAAAGTCGCGGCTGCGGGATTCCTGGTGCCCACCGCACCTGAGGGTTGATGGTAGTGCGCCTGTGGATGCTCGTGGCTTTAGCCTATATCCTGCTGCGGGAACCGGTAGGGCCTTTCAACCCTGCAAAAGAGCCGACGGTTGATATCCGAGAAGGAAGAGACGAATGTCCGAGAAGAATAACCAACTGGCGGACGTCTGGATTGAATGACTACGATGAGAGCCGGATGACTTGCNCCTCTCAACCCTCCAACCGAGCCGACGGTTGATATCCGAGAAGGAAGAGACGAATGTCCGAGAAGAATGACCAGCTGGCTGGAATGACTACGATGAGAGCCGGATGACTTGCCAAGAAGATGGACGAGG